CTTTACGTGTTGTGCGAATCACTTTCATTTTTATCAAAAACTGTCGGTCAGTGTTCAAAGCTTGATGCCTTATTTACCCTTTTTTCTGCAGCCGTGCCAGTGCCAAGAGACCTGACTGCTTCGATTGTGAATTCAAACACCCTCCGCGTGTCCTGGAAGGCGCCAAGCGTTGCACTGCCATGGGGTAACAAGTACCTGCTCACTGTCTACAATGCGACTTATAAACGGACCTATACGATGGAGAAGACAGAGGAGACAATAACCAACCTGGGTCCCTCTTCCGTTTACAACTTCACCGTCCAGTGTCTTGACAAGAATGACAAGCCTTTCCCTGCCGTAGCATTCGGTTCCGCGCGCATGCCAGACCAAGGTAAGTTGCAGATTACACCACCTGATGCTCTTGCATCTTTGCAAACGCTCCAGGTAGTCTTGCACCAGTAATCAGCCCTCCTCGTGTATGCGCACGTTGCCAATTTATTGTTTGCTAGTTTACAGTCAAGGTCAAAAGTTATATTTATAGAAGATGATCGAGCTGCCAGTGAAAAAAAATGCCTGATCATCCTTTCTAGCTTTATGCAGGGGAAAAGGCTGCAGTTCGTTGAATGACTGAATTTCGGGACGGGTAAGGGTTGACACAGGTACCTGGTGTAGTCAGTCTCCCATAAGTGCTATAGATTTGGTACTCCGCATCAGATAAGGGTGTGTCGGTGAACGCTTGCTCGCTGTCGGCTGAAGAATATGCCGATTGCGGGCTGCAGATTCAGCAGCATTGTCCTCAGCATGAGGCCTGGCAGGGGATTCAGAGTCCGCGGACACCGTCAGAGCGAAAGAGAGATTTCACCGTGTCAGCACCCAAAGGTTTCCTGGATACAGAAAACTAATGATAGCTCTCTTAAACAAAGGGGAGCTTTGCTGAATTGTGATGCTTCCGGATATTCTATTCCAGATTGCTATGGCGTTTATGGAAAAAAGCTGTGCGTGCCAGGGAAAGAAATAAAAAGACATCTCGAGACTGGCCGAGAGTGGTCGAACTGCCTTAGACTAGTAAGGGGATTGAGGGTACGGCAGTTTAAAAGTTTAAACTTAAAAAATAGTCCATTCTATGATCTGTGAAGTCACGGCGGATCAATGTTAGTAAGCCCACAACGATATTGGTAGGGCAGGTTGAGGTGTTCTGAAGATAACACTGTTTTGGCAAAGAAACCCTGGACCGATCCCATTTTCCTCCGTTCACTAGTACGCAGAATGCTAAGTGGAAACGAACAGTATTCCAGACTAGGTCTAACGTACATTTACTAAAGCCTAGTTCTAATATTCATGGTTTTGAAATTTCTCAGAATAACTCCGGTAGTTCGGCGTGCCTTCGAGACATTCAGGACGCTGTGCTCTGACAGATTAAGACCATTAGAATATGATAAGACCAGATCTTTTATAACTCCAAGCACATTTTGGTCGTGACCGTCTATGCTTACTTGAGGCTGATGATCTTTAAGTCCAAATGCAGCACTAGGTCATTCTGAAACACGACTTTTAGGACGAAAGGGGGCCGTAGAATTTGTTCTTAACGCCTAGCCAGTGTTCGAACTGTGACACCGTTTAATTATCTTTTGCTCTGCAGAATTGCCGATGGAAAAACCGAGAGATGTGACTGCCTCTGCTGTGAATTCCACTACCATCCATGTGAGCTGGCAGAAACCACTCCCTGCGGACAAATTCAAAGACGAGTACCATATTACTATCTACGGTGAAGGCTATAAGATGACCTACACCACGAAGGATACAGTGATCATCATTGGTGGCTTGGATACTTCTTCGATTTACAACATCACCGTGCAAGGTGTTTGGGCAAATGGCGAAATTGTTCCCGATGGCGCAACCACTACCCTGCAAAAGCCTTCTTCTGGTAATTTTCAGTTTACCTCCACCAGTCTTTGACGAACATGATATTAACCTGCATGATTCTCACGTCCACTATCCGACTTAAAAAATCCTGTCTAATCGGGAACCTATTTCATAATCTCGGCAAGTATGTAATGATTGGTACTCGGAAATTGCTGTTTGTTCATTGGACAGTAGCCGAGTGCTTGAAGGGCAGTCAGTGCAATCCTGTTCAACTCCGATCGTCTTCGCATTGTCTTGTCGCAGACGTTCTGTAACGAGGGAATGGGTGAGATGGGGTGTGTGTCTCACGATAATAGGATTACCGAGCAGCTAATTGCTGATACTCAAACTGCGTGCATGGATCACGGGGTGGATAAAGTCCTTTGCTTGCTCATGACGGTCGCACTTTTGTCAGGATGGAAGTTCAACAGTGCAACCCTGTCCACATCCGATCGTCTTCACATTGTCTTCTCGTAGATGCCCGATGAAAATGAAAGGGGAGAGAGAAAGCTTCACATCCACTGCTTCACTGCTACTTACCGCGCAAACTCCCTGTGCACACCTGATGACTCTCTCGTCCGTTAGAGTCCGAAATTCAGGGTTCCACGGAGTCGAATGCGCACGAACCAATCAGTATAGACAAATAGTAGGATGTAGTCCGTTTCAAATCCCCATCAACGGCGAGAATATTCGATGCGATGAGTTCATACCGACAATAATCCTTTGAAGTGGGATGGGCAATGGCTACCACAAAAGTGTTGTGTGTTCTCATTCGCAAGCATGTAGCAGGATGTAAGATTCACAGTTGCTCTTTTTATGATTATTTTGCAGACTAGGCATTTAACCCCCCCCCCTAATGTGCCTCCTTCCCATTTTTTGCCTGTAGGGCTGTCTG